GAATCCAGTCTATGAACTTCCGTTCACTCACCACCAGAGGTCACGCGCTCACTACATTGACTCTCACACCAAACAGACTGTTACATGTCACTCCGGACTACAGTTCCCATCATCCATTGCACTGATTACACACACACAGTTGATTGCACACAGCACTGATTGCACACAGCTGCCATCAATCACACCTTCCCTATTTATACACTCACTCTGATCCCCGTCAAGCTGCCGAGTATTGTTTAGCGCTTATCACTCATCATGTGATAGCTACGTTACAGAGCCATTTCAGAGTGTTGTCTTGTTCCTAGTTCTAGTCTAGTTACGTCTAGTTTGGTGCCTGTTTCCTGATCTACTGCCTGTCGTGGATTCTTCTATTGCCTACCTCTCTGGACATTGTTTGCTGATCTCAGACCCACGCTAGCTTTTGGATTACTCTTCGTCTTGCCCTCATATACCTGTTTGCCATTGTCTGAACCTTGCCTGTTTTATGACCACGCCTTTAAATAAAAAGCTTGCACATGGATCCGCACGCCTCTCATCTCCTCGGCTCCGTAACATATACCATCACGCCAATTTATTGGCCAGTGGCGCATAGCACCGCCCCGAGCATACAAATGGTCAGGCGTGGATTAAAGGGTTACTCCACCCCAAAATTACAGTTTTGTCATTAATCACTTACCCCCATGTCGTTCCAAACCCGTAAAAGCTTCGTTTTGATAGTTTGAGTTTGATCAACTCAAATGTGATCAACTCAGCTGTCTGCCTCTATCTGCCTCTATCTGCTTGGTTGTCACTTTAAAAAACAAAAACTTGAATTTAACAAACAAAAAATGTTCCAAACATTTTTCTAAATTAACTTAATAAAGAAACAAAAATAAAGATAACTTTGCCATTAAAAACAAAACTGAGGGGGTTGTCCCCCTCGGTAAAAAAATTGCGTTCCGGGGCCCCTCTCCCTCGCCGGGCCCTTGGAATCCTCGTTTTATTTAATAAAAAGGAACGAATCATAAAAAGTTATCAAGTTTCAAGCCTTTCATTTGTGACATTAATGTGACAAAATATGCGTTAGAACTAGGCCTAGCCTACAACACTCATTACAATAATCCAGTTTTTCTATAGTTTTATTTTTTATGGCATAATGCACACCGCCTTAAATGTAATCAAAACATTCCAAGTTAATACTGGATGGTACTGTACAGCATAATGTAAGCACACTTCAAGCACTGCTGTCACATATTCACTGTACCAGTGGTAAAATACATAGCTGGAACATTTAGACTATATGATGAATAATTCGAGATTACATGTTAAAATGCTTAATTAGTGACAAAAAGTGAAGTGACATGTAGCCAAGTATGGTGACCGATACTCGGAATTTGTGCTCTGCATTTAATCCATCCAAGTGCACACATCCAGAGCAGTGGGCAGCCATATTGCTGTGGCACCCAGGGAGCATTTGGGGGTTCGGTGCCTTGCTCAAGGGTCTCACCTCAGTCGTGGTATTGAGGGTGGAAGAGAGTGCTGGTCAATCACTCCCCCCACCAACAATCCCTGCCGGACCTGAGACTCGAACCCACAACCTTCAGGTTACAAGTCCAACTCTCTAACCGTTAGGCCACAACTGCCCACGACTGCTTATTATTACGACTTTTTAAACATTTTAAAACATCACCTAAAGGATGGCACATGACAGATTTTATCATTTAAAAATCAATATTGTGAGGTCAAAACCATTTACTTCACACAAATGAGAGACATCTCATTTTGGTTACAGTAAAAATAAAAACGAGATGGTTTCGATTTTCAAAGCTACTACTTCACAACCTTCTAAGATATTAAAGGATAAGATAAATATGTTTCTATGTAAAAGTTTCCATTGTCGCACTGCTAAGCTGGAAAGCCTTGTAACCTTGTGAAATGTAGGAATGTCATCTGACCTGCCACCAAAAGCAAACAATGCAAGTGTAACCCCTGTCCCCCGGGTCCTCACCGCCACATCTCGTTCTCGCTCCGAGTGGGTCTCGAACCCGGATCTCCGGCATGGGAGGCGGACGCACTAACAAGGAGGCTAAAGACTGCAGCCACTAGCATCAGTCACTAGTGCGTCTCTTGAGATCAGGGGAGTGAGGTTTACCTGCACAGCACCTACTCGCTGGCCTCCGTTACACAAGTCAACAATGCAAGGCAAACTACAGCATTAAATATGTCCAGTGTTGTCTTTACAGAGGCTTTAAAATTTAATTGTTCTAATACAAATACACTGCCCTCCATTACCCGCACCCCCCTAAACCTCACTCCCATCCGGGTCACGGCACCAATGTAACCCCTGTCCCCCGGGTCCTCACCGCCACACCTCGTTCTCGCTCCGAGTGGGTCTCGAACCCGGGTCTCCGGCATTGGAAGGTGGACACACTAACAAGGAGGCTAAAGACTGCAGCCACTAGCGTCAGTCGCTAGTGCGTCTCTTGAGATCAGGGGAGTGAGGTTTACCTGCACAGCACCTACTCGCTGGCCTCCGTTACACAAGTCAACAATGCAAGGCAAACTACAGCATTAAATATGTCCAGTGTTGTCTTTACAGAGGCTTTAAAATTTAATTGTTCTAATACAAATACACGTAATATACACTATCTATAACTTTGACTTTAATAAGCAATGATTGGTGTGATAATTACAGATTCTTTAATACCCTCTTGCAGATTGTCCAGCTCTTCCAGAGATAAAGGTCATTATAATAGGCAGTAAGGCAGATTTCAAATGCAGTGCTGCAAATACCATCCTTGGTAAGAATGAGTGTAGAGTGGCAAAAGAGATGGAGATATGTAAAGATGGAGATTGTGCACAGCTTAAAACTGTGTCATGCTCCACATGCCTTCTTCTAATTATCAATCTACATCAACCATTCACATATGTGCACCTAAACAGTGTTCTGGAACACATGGAGATTCTTGGTGAGCAGATCTGGAACCACACCATCGTTCTGCTCATGTATAACGACAAAACACAGAGACATGCAGACAGCAAGCAGCTAATTGAGAGAGCAGGGAAAGAGCTTGATATTGTAATAAAGAAATGTGGGAACAGAGTTCATGTTTTCAATTATACTGTCAGAAGGGGGGAAAATGTGGAAAAACTGTTTAATGAGTCAGATAGATTGGTTGATGAGCATGAAGGACAGTGCTTTAAAATTGACAGCAAACTGTTTGAGGGTATGGAGGAAAAGAGAAGGATGGTAAAGAAACGAGGAGAAGAGAGGGCGATCCAAGTAAAAACAAAGATGCAAACCTTGAATGAATGTCTAACAGGAATAGTGCATCTTTTTTTTTTTTCAATTCTTAACAGCATTTTAAGACTGCAAGGAAAGATAAAGTTATGTAAGCAATGTGACCCAGGCTGAATACACTGTTCAAGGGCTCTCTCTATTTTCTGGCAGAGAAAAGTTGTGATTTTCCAGAGTTAAGGATTGTCTTGATGGGTGCCAGAATTGTTGAAAAGACTTCAGTGATGTACACCATCCTGAAAAAAACACAAATGGAGGACAGGACTAAAACGTGTGTGAAGAGAGAGAAAGAGGTTGACAAGAGAAAAGTCATTTTAATTGACACACCTGGATGGTGGCCATACGCGTCTGTAAAGGAGACTTCAGAGTCAGTCAAGCAGTTATTCATTACAGCGAGGTGGTCTTTCTGCTGGACCTTAGGCCTGTCGCACCTCCTACGGTGCCTATGGTGGACTATGCATGGCAGGGGCGTCCTCTTCCCTGAGGCAGGCCTAAACCTGACCGCATACCACATGGTTTTTCTGCAGGGTCTTCAGCTGGGGACCACCGCTCATTGACGTTTCGCCCCTTAACCCAGAACGTCTCCTGGTGGCGGGGCAGTGAACAGGGACGTCTCCCTGACACCCCCTGCAGCAAACCCTAATTCGATGTTACTCCCCAAGCCTTGTCTCGTCGTTTCAGCCAGAGCCAGTGGCTTGCTTTCTCCGCTTCCTCAGAGAGCTCTTTGGTGGATCTGCTCAGTGTGGCTCCCCGTAGTCCCAGGTCCTTGAGCAGGCATGATATTGATCTGCCCACAAAGCCTCTGGCTCCCACCTCCACCGGGTACAGCCTCACACTCCATCCACTTTCTCTGCACTCCGCGACCAAGTCTGCATACTTCGCCTTCTTTCTCTCGTAGGCAGCTTCCAGTCCCTCCTCCCATGGCACTGTCAGCTCGATCAGTATCACTGACTTCACAGCTGCAGACCACAGCACCACGTCTGGTCTTAATGTGGTGCTGCATATCTCCTGTGGGAACTGGAGCTGCCTTCCCAGGTCTACTTCCATCTTCCACCCCGCCCCTGGTGTTAATAGCTTGGTGGGTGGTCTCTTGCTGGTATGCATTGCGGGTTCCCCCTGCCTGAGGAAGTGGATCTTACATCGACTCTCTAATGGACTCTGATTATTTGCCTCCTGCCGACTTTTCTCCAGCACCTCTGCCAGCTTCCTGAGCACTTGGTCATGCCGCCATCTGAGCCGACCCTGTGTCAGTGCTGTTTTACAGCCCGACAGAACATGCTGGAGTGAGGCATTGATGGTCCCGCAGAGGTCACAGGATTGCTCTGTTCCAAGCCATTGGTGGAGGTTTTTAGGGCTTGGGAGGGCGTCGTATGTTGCCCTAATGAGGAAACTGAGCCGAGCCTGTGGTAGTTTCCAGAACTCTGCCCAGCTAATTGCTCGGCTCGCGACACCCTCCCAAGTTGTCCACCGCCCCTGCTGTCCCTGTGCCACAGACCTTACTCTGAGCTCCTCCTGCTCAATCCTGGTGACCTCTGCAACAACTAGGTCCTTCCTCTCCTTCCTACTTGCCTTGGACCATAGGATGGGTGGCTCGCTCCATCCAAGGCCTGCCCGCCCTGTCTGGACCATGCCCACAATTTGTTGATGTTGCAGCCTTCCCATCACCTTGTGCATTATTCATTACAGCGAGGTGGTCTTTCTGCTGGACCTTAGGCCTGTCGCACCTCCTACGGTGCCTATGGTGGACTATGCATGGCAGGGGCGTCCTCTTCCCTGAGGCAGGCCTAAACCTGACCGCATACCACATGGTTTTTCTGCAGGGTCTTCAGCTGGGGACCACCGCTCATTGACGTTTCGCCCCTTACCCCAGAATGTCTCCTGGTGGCGGGGCAGTGAACAGGGACATCTCCCTGACACCCCCTGCAGCAAACCCTAATTCGATGTTACTCCCCAAGCCTTGTCTCATCGTTTCAGCCAGAGCCAGTGACTTGCTTTCTCCGCTTCCTCAGAGAGCTCTTTGGTGGATCTGCTCAGTGTGGCTCCCCGTAGTCCCAGGTCCTCGAGCAGGCATGATATTGATCTGCCCACAAAGCCTCTGGCTCCCACCTCCACCGGGTACAGCCTCACACTCCATCCACTTTCTCTGCACTCCGCGACCAAGTCTGCATACTTCGCCTTCTTTCTCTCGTAGGCAGCTTCCAGTCCCTCCTCCCATGGCACTGTCAGCTCGATCAGTATCACTGACTTCACAGCTGCAGACCACAGCACCACGTCTGGTCTTAATGTGGTGCTGCATATCTCCTGTGGGAACTGGAGCTGCCTTCCCAGGTCTACTTCCATCTTCCACCCCGCCCCTGGTGTTAATAGCTTGGTGGGTGGTCTCTTGCTGGTATGCATTGCGGGTTCCCCCTGCCTGAGGAAGTGGATCTTACATCGACTCTCTAATGGACTCTGATTATTTGCCTCCTGCCGACTTTTCTCCAGCACCTCTGCCAGCTTCCTGAGCACTTGGTCATGCCGCCATCTGAGCCGACCCTGTGTCAGTGCTGTTTTACAGCCCGACAGAACATGCTGGAGTGAGGCATTGATGGTCCCGCAGAGGTCACAGGATTGCTCTGTTCCAAGCCATTGGTGGAGGTTTTTAGGGCTTGGGAGGGCGTCGTATGTTGCCCTAATGAGGAAACTGAGCCGAGCCTGTGGTAGTTTCCAGAACTCTGCCCAGCTAATTGCTCGGCTCGCGACACCCTCCCAAGTTGTCCACCGCCCCTGCTGTCCCTGTGCCACAGACCTTACTCTGAGCTCCTCCTGCTCAATCCTGGTGACCTCTGCAACAACTAGGTCCTTCCTCTCCTTCCTACTTGCCTTGGACCATAGGATGGGTGGCTCGCTCCATCCAAGGCCTGCCCGCCCTGTCTGGACCATGCCCACAATTTGTTGATGTTGCAGCCTTCCCATCACCTTGTGCACCTCCTCCTTAGCCCTCCATTTCCTTCCAGTCTCAACTCTGGCATTTGCATCAGCAACTGCCTTGTCGGAGGAGTCCCTTAATTCCATCACCAGCCTTGCCTTCTCCTGCCTATAGCCCAAGGTGATGGATTTCAGGGGTAGCTGGAGTGAGTTCCATCCATACAGACCAGCAGCTGAAAAGCACCGTGGTAGGCCGAGCCATTTGGCTTTTGCCTCCATCCGGCTTACTGCTGATGAGGTGACTTCGCACAGCTTCAGAGGCCACATCACCCTTGGGTACAAGGTGAAGTGATAACACCACACCTTGTACTTTCCAGGTAGCTGGCTTGCGTTGATCTTAGACAGGCCTTCTGACAGCTGCCGAAGGATGAATTTCCCCATATCCTTGTCTGAGAGACCAGATGTATAAAGTCTTCCCAGGCTTCGGATGGGCTGATCCACGATGCGGGGGATGTCTTCCCCGCTGATGGTGAAGGTGACTCTGTCATTTCTCTCCCCCTTTCGCAATGAGAGGCTCCTTGACTTCTGCGGCTTGAACTTCATTCTGGCCCAGGTGATCAGCTCATCCAGCCTCTTAAGCAGCCTGGTTGTACATGGGGCAGTTCGTAGCAGGCAAGTGATGTCGTCCATATAGCTCCTTAGGGGTGGGAGCCTCTGACCTGCAGGCAGCCGGACCCCACCCACCACCTGCCTTGCCCCGATCAGGATGACCTCAAACGCTGCCACGAAGAGGATGGGAGAAATGGAGCATCCCATTGCGATCCCTACTTCCAGTTGTTGCCAACCAGTGGTGACTTTCTTCAGTGCAAAGCACATGTGCATGTCCTGGTAGTAGTTCATGATCATGGTCCTGATGTTGTCTGGGATGTAGAAGAATTCCAAAGCGTAGGCTATGAGCAGGTGTGGCACTGACCCATAGGCATTGGCTAAATCTAGCCATATGACGTGCAGATCTTTCTTCTCCCTCTTAGTGGTCTGGATCTGTTCCCAAATCATGGAAGCATGCTCTACACAGCCAGGGAAACCTGGAATCCCGGCTTTCTGACAGCTGGTATTGATGTAGTTGTTCTCCGTGAGGTAAGTGGTCATTCTTCTTGCCATCACGGAGAAGAAGATTTTCCCCTCCACATTCAGTAGAGCTATGCTCCTGAACTGCTCGATGGTCTTGGCGTTCTGTTGTTTGGGAATAGAGACTGCCACTGCCCTCTGCCACTCGGATGGTATGGTCTGCTTAGTCCAGGTGATTCTCATCAGGGTCCATAACAGCTTCAGCACTCCTGGGCAGACCACCGCTCATTGACGTTTCGCCCCTTAACCCAGAACGTCTCCTGGTGGCGGGGCAGTGAACAGGGACGTCTCCCTGACACCCCCTGCAGCAAACCCTAATTCGATGTTACTCCCCAAACCTTGTCTCGTCGTTTCAGCCAGAGCCAGTGGCTTGCTTTCTCCGCTTCCTCAGAGAGCTCTTTGGTGGATCTGCTCAGTGTGGCTCCCCGTAGTCCCAGGTCCTTGAGCAGGCATGATATTGATCTGCCCACAAAGCCTCTGGCTCCCACCTCCACCGGGTACAGCCTCACCCTCCATCCACTTTCTCTGCACTCCGCGACCAAGTCTGCATACTTCGCCTTCTTTCTCTCGTAGGCAGCTTCCAGTCCCTCCTCCCATGGCACTGTCAGCTCGATCAGTATCACTGACTTCACAGCTGCAGACCACAGCACCACGTCTGGTCTTAATGTGGTGCTGCATATCTCCTGTGGGAACTGGAGCTGCCTTCCCAGGTCTACTTCCATCTTCCACCCCGCCCCTGGTGTTAATAGCTTGGTGGGTGGTCTCTTGCTGGTATGCACTGCGGGTTCCCCTGCCTGAGGAAGTGAATCTTGCATCGACTCTCTAATGGACTCTGATTATTTGCCTCCTGCCGACTTTTCTCCAGCACCTCTGCCAGCTTCCTGAGCACTTGGTCATGCCGCCATCTGAGCCGACAGAACATTTACAGCCCGACAGAACATGCTGGAGTGAGGCATTGATGGTCCCGCCATGGAAGCATGCTCTACACAGCCAGGGAAACCTGGAATCCCGGCTTTCTGACAGCTGGTATTGATGTAGTTGTTCTCCGTGAGGTAAGTGGTCATTCTTCTTGCCATCACGGAGAAGAAGATTTTCCCCTCCACATTCAGTAGAGCTATGCTCCTGAACTGCTCGATGGTCTTGGCGTTCTGTTGTTTGGGAATAGAGACTGCCACTGCCCTCTGCCACTCGGATGGTATAGTCTGCTTAGCCCAGGTGATTCTCATCAGGGTCCATAACAGCTTCAGCACTCCTGTGCAGCTCTTATACAACTTGTACGGTATTCTGTTCGGGCCTGGTGCTGAAGCAGATCTTGCCCGCTGGATCACCTGCCTGATCTCGCTGAACTTTGGTGGTGATGCGTCAAACAGGGCTGATGGTTCTGAGGGTCTAGGCACATACCCTGGCGAGTCTAGGGGTTTGTTCCTTGCTGGGTCACTGTACTGAGTGCGGATGTACTCCTGCAGTTCTTCTTTGGAGACATCCAGAATTCCACTTGTCTTCTCCTCAAGGAGCCCGCGTGCATACCGGAATGGATTCCTGAAGAAACTTGATCTTTCCTTCTCCTTCCTTTTCCTCCGTCTTCTAATGCGTTCTACCCTCCGGAGGTTAGCAAGGCATCTTCTGATCTCATCCCAGAGAGCTTTCAGGAGATACTGTTGTTTCATACGTTGCTCTCCAATTAGAAGTATCTTGCAGGATCGACCTTTATGTGAGTAGTATAACACACTCCCTGCCGAGTCCATTATGTTACACTGTTTTATCAGCTTTTTTTTTGACCAGAGTAATATTGTGCATTTCATTGTATAGAGAAAATATTGCATATTTGACATAATTCACAAAATAACCAAACTTTTCCTTTAAACCAGCTGTAAAGTTTTTAGTTTTGTTTGCTAAACATATTGCTACAAACCAACCTAATTGTACAATTTCTCCTTGTAGTGAATGAAGTCTACACTGAAACTTGGATGGAACATCTGAGTGACATATCAAACTATAGGACCATGACAGAGTCGTCAGAGACTGAGCAAATTGGAGAGTTAAAAAACAAACAAACAGTGAAAGTCAAAGAAACCATGTGTCCACAAGTCCAGACCTATGCAAAAATAAAGAAAAAAACATTAATAGTGCAGCATGTTATTTATTCAGGAGTACTAACATGTATAAACACTGGACCTAGAAGTGTGTTACCTCCACCCTTGTATCTTTGGGCTTTGATAATACATGTCAGAGAACAATGTTGTTTTTAAACACTGTAAAATATTATTTGTATATTATTTTTTTTAAAACATTCACACACAAGACACTATGAAATGAGAGCAGAATGATATATTTTGTTTTTGTAAAAATAAGTTTTGTTTTGAACCAAAAATAATGGATTGATAGCCTTTTAACCCTATAAAGCCTATAATGTTTGATTAAAACTTTCAACATTGTTGTATAATTCCAAAGAAATGCAATTATCTTGCCTAGTTGTTTATTTATTTTAGATCTTTTACACATATTGAGATAATGTATCTAATATAACTCATTGTGGTTCTGCTGCTAGAACCCTAAAAGGATTTTGGCCAGCTGAAGCTGACTACACTTTTGAAACCATGATTATTGTATTTTATACTTCAGTGGTTGAGTATTATTATATTGCCTTTATATTTTTTGTTTATTATAAAAAGAAATGTATAACCAATTAAAAGAAATTTAATTAACTGCAAAAAATGCCTATGAAGGATTTGATTTATTGTGTTTTAAGACTTCGAATTAGAACATACCACAAATAAATCTTTTAACAAAGTTATAAGTAATTTGAAATGCTTATAACTTAGGCCAGACTCAACTTACTTTGCCTAAACTGAGAATAATAAATAAAGTTAAAGGTGTTAAGATCAACGTACACACTGCAAAACAACATGATTAAAACCTGAAAAACTGTTGTACACGATCTATTACCTTCTGTTGTCTTATTGATAGTTTACACTTTTTTAAGCAAATAAAAGCCTATATCAGGTTTGTGAGGGATGTTTATTTGTATATTTCTCAATTATCATTGTAAGTTTGGGCCTCAGCTAAATATTCTGACTATATCATAAAACCCTCATGTATCAAATATGATACAAAACATGAAACACATATGCAAAGACTTTTTATATTTTGTCCAAAGGCATAAACCGTTTAATAAAGAAAAAAATTGTTGATTATTTCAAATGTCAGGCTTTACAGAGTTAAAAGGGTTTCAGATTTTACTGAATTATTAGACCACCAACCCAACCTCATGAGAGATATACTATTTTCAATGAAAATACATGAAAGAAAACGTCTTGTTTCTAACAACTTGGTATGCCATGTAGGCCATAGATTTTTTAGCAATTTTATTTTACTAATTACCAAGTCAATTTTTTTACTAAAAACAACATGGACTATAGAGGACATGCAGTTCTTGCAGCATCCAATAATACAAAATGCACTGAAACTTTAAAACACACCCCCTCTTCCATCTTGTCCTATAAATATTAATGGAAAGATTTTATATTTTATCTCAAACACTTTTATGCTGTTTTTGCTTTAACCCCCACCCCAATTTACTTTGGTAATCAAACAGTTTTGGTGCCCATTGTCTTTCATTACATGGATAAAAACACAAAACACACACAAACACAAAACAAAACAAAACAACAACAACAAAACGAAAATAACTCAAGCCCATTGCTTTTGCTTTAAATGTTTTATTGCATACAATATTTTACGCATATATCTTGTAGATTATGTCTAAGATTTCAAGGTGATTCTCTGCATTAAATATAACTGTATAAAAAGCATAAAAAACATTTTTATGCTGCAAAGAAATATAAAAAGAAATTTCATTAATTGATTAATTTAATTAATCAAGATGTAACAATATGCAGTGTGCCTTAGTCATCATGTTTAATTTTTCTATTTATGTTTATATTTTAGTCAAGTTGTGTGTGTGTGTGTGTGTGTGTGTGTGTATATATACGAAATGTAAATGTATCCTCTAACAGAACATCTAATTTGAAAATATTTTGCCAGGCTGTGTTCTTGTTTATGAAGTAAAAGAAAAGTGAAATTTCTTAATACAAGCACATCACACTCGAGAGAACAGGGTAAATAACTTATTATTTGGTGTTATTTTAATGACTTCAACAGTTATTTATTTTTCATGTTTAACAAAAACAGCTTAATGACAACACAATGTACAGCAACATTTAGAAAAGGTATGGTGAGAAAGTTTGTAACTCTATTGTCTTTTCTATCGCGGTAAGTTTGGGGTGGAGTTTGTACTTGATATTTTGGAGAGATTGATAAACCAGAACATCAAGTTAACCAGCCCAGAGACACATTTAAAACATGTACGGGAACAAACAGAAAATATTTGAAATCCTTATACGAATGCAGGACATAGTAAGAAAGCTGGGCTAAGAAAGAAATAGTGTGGGGGGGGAAAACTATTAAAAGAAAAAAAATCAGTGAAGAGGGCAGCCAGATCTATTTCGATCATTCATACTGACGGCCTGCAACACATGATGGAAGCAGAAGGGGGTTCGGATCATAATTATGGTGAGCTTCTTTTCTTTAAATGTTAAACATTTCATGTTTAAATGTTTGCCACAAACCAGTTAAAACGGATGGATGGTCTGACAAAGTATCATGAAAACATGTAACACAGTTGAGTCATTGCAAAAATACTAAAAGATTGCAACATCTCAACAAACACAGTAAACAGACTAAAAACAATCTATATGTTTTAAATAACTGCAAAAACCTATTACTTGAAATATTAGCCATGCCTTAAGTAATATTTGTTTGGGTAAATAATATTGAGAGATAATATGTTTTATATGCATTATAAGCTTCCAATTACCATGAAGATTTTATTTGATAGGTTAATTTGTAAGTACCCTTTCAAAAGGTACGTACCATTACGGGTTAAACAAGGTACAAAGGTGTACCTTTTGAAAAGGCACCACAAGACAGTATAAGTCATTATAATCTGTAATTATGTCCCCACTGGATGCAACAAATGCCTCGTTTATAATGGGTTTTAATGTTTTTGTCTTGTCGCTCGGTCTGACAGGGCATCACAATATGGCAAGGGGCATAACATTTCCGTCACACGCTTGAGGTATTCGGCCAATCACAATGCACTGGATAGCTGGCCAATCACAGCACACCTCGCTTTTCAGACCGAT